GTGACTGTTGCTTGCAGTGACTGTTGCTTGCAGTGACTGTTGCTTGCAGTGACTGTTGCTGGCAGTGTTGCTGATCCACTTGGACCACCACACAAACCTGTCCGGACAGGTTTGGTTACGTAACCTTTGATTGGGGAGCCGGTCGGCCGAGCGGACAGCACGCTGGACTTGTGATCCTGTGGTCCTGGGTTCGATCCCAGGCGCCGGCGAGAAACAATGGGCAGAGTTTCTTTCACCCTATGCTCCTGTTACCTAGCAGTAAATAGGTACCTGGGTGTTAGTCAGCTGTCACGGGCTGCTTCCAGGGGGTGGAGACCTGGTCGAGGACCGGGCCGCGGGGACACTAAAGCCCCGAAATCAATTCAAGATAACCTCAAGATAGCATACGTTCAGTTTTGGTTAGATTTGATAAAGTTAAGTTGCGTTAGTTTACTTCAGGTTAAGTTTGGGTTAGACTGCATAGGTTAGTTTGGGTTAGATTTGGATATTTAACGATAGTTTTGGTTGGTTTACCTGAGCCTGAGGATCGGGTGCAGCAAGACTGGTTTTGGAAATTAGAGATCTAAGATTCAATGACAGTTTTAGTGAACTGAACCTATAAACAGTTGAAAAGGTAGACGATCCGGAGGAGAAATGATTAAGACGTATAAGATACTAAGCGGAACAGAATGTACTAAAGAACAATTACTCCCACCAGGAACATGACGATAAACTAACGATGAAAACAGCATAAAACTAAAGAAGGTAGAGATATAGGAAAATATTTTTCAGTGTTTGTGAAACAGACGGCTGAAGAATCCCATAAATAAATGTTATTGAAAAAAGATACACAGTTTCAAAAGCAGATATGATCAAGGCACGAGAAATTCGAGAGGAGACTTGCATGTGATACTCAAAGGAGGTGAAGTGAAGTTCTTCGCTCCATTCAGTGAAGAACCTGTCAATGACAGACTTCATACCAAAGTAAACACAGTCCTATGTAAACCAGATGTCCCGTATTCCAGTCCCATGTAAACTACGAATCAACGTTCCAGGCAGCCATTGAAGTGACGACGATTTATCACAACATTTCCGATCAAAGAAATTCTTAGATTGAGTTGTTGGAGAGATTTCTCCTGGAAAGAAGCAAGCTGTTCAGGACTTATCACTCTCTTAAAGCGAAGTTCAGTTCCAGAAACATCAGTTATAGTGACTCCAGGCGGGAACTAAGCTGGACGTCTACCGGGTTCCAGGCATGATCTAAATACTAAACTAAATCTGAATCTAAATCAAAATCTAAATCTAAATCTAAAATCTAAAATCTAAATCTAAATCTAAAATCTAAAATCTAAAATCTAAAATCTAAAATCTAAATCTAAATCTAAAATCTAAATCTAAATCTAAAATCTAAATCTAAAATCTAAAATCTAAAATCTAAAATCTAAAATCTAAATCTAAATCTAAAATCTAAATCTAAATCTAAATCTAAAATCTAAATCTAAATCTAAATCTAAAATCTAAAATCTAAATCTAAAAAACTAAATAAGAAAACAATCTGTTGGTGGAGGCGAATGAGTCTCCAGACATGATGTAATTTGGTTTTAGTGGCTAAAGGCAGGCACTAAACTGGTCTAACGGGGCTCCCGGCAGGATCTAAAATGGTTTCGAGCGGTCTAAGTAGGATCTAAATTGCTCATGATGCCTCCAAGACCTTGAGTCACCCAGACCAATTAGGATCCTGCACTTGTGCCGGTTCCAATGTTCTCGCTTCACTCTCAGCAACAATAACTATCATCAACTGCCAGCAACAATTACTCCCAGCAACACCACCCATTAAACCCCACACAGACCATCCCATCCCAAGGCCTCGTTAATGGAATATATTAATTACCGACTGTCGGTTGTTACTTCCCACCTGTTCACTGATTCATGTTCAGCATCCCCAGAGTGTCTCAGAGATAACTCCCTGTCATAGTACCCCCAGAGGGCCTCACAGATACCCCCTGTCATAGTACCCACAGAGTGTCTCACAGATACCCCCTGTCATAGACAGTGCCTCCAGAGGGCCTCACAGATACACCCTGTCATAGACAGTACCCCCAGAGGGCCTCACAGATACACCCTGTCATAGACAGTACCCCCAGAGGTCCTCACAGATACACCCCGTCATAAACAGTGCCCCCAGAGAGCCTCACAGATACCCCCTGTCATAGTACCCACAGAGTGTCTCACTGATACCCCCTGTCATAGACAGTGCCTCCAGAGGGCCTCACAGATACACCCTGTCATAGACAGTGCCCCCAGAGTGCCTCACAGATAACCCCCTGTCATAGACAGTGCCTCCAGAGGGCCTCACAGATACACCCTGTCATAGACAGTGCCCCCAGAGGGCCTCACAGATACCCCCTGTCATAGACAGTACCCCCAGAGGGCCTCACAGATACCCCCTGTCATAGACAGTGCCCCCAGAGTGCATCACAGATACCCCTGTCATAGACAGTACCCCCAGAGGTCCTCACAGATACACCCCGTCATAAACAGTGCCCCAGAGAGCCTCACAGATACCCCCTGTCATAGACAGTGCCTCCAGAGTGCCTCACAGATACACCCTGTCATAGACAGTGCCCCCAGAGTGCCTCACAGATAACCCCCTGTCATAGACAGTGCCCCCAGAGTGCCTCACAGAAAGAGCGTCAAAGAATCTATATATTGCCGGACACAGGTACGGTACAAAGGCAGCCGGATACAAACAGATACAGACGAATACAGTCATACACAGTCGAATACAGCAGGTACAAATAGGTGCGTTGTTTTACACGCTCCTACAGAATGAAAACCTGGACATAATTGCCCATTTAAACGCGTTTGAGTTTATTTGATTTAATTGATAGTTATTTTTGCGTGAGGGGACTTTTTCTGGCTGCAAGAACAAAATTGCAATATTGTGGCATTTAATTCTGATATAGATGTTTTGACAAATGTGTTACAGCAGTTATACAAACGGGAATTGATATGAATACCATTGTACTACTTTAAAAAAAAATTATATATATATATATAAAATATATATATATGTGTGTGTGTGTGTGTGTGTGTGTGTGTGTGTGGGTGTGTGTGTGTGTTGTGGGTGTGTGTTTGTGTGTGTGTGTGTGTGTGTTACTAGTTGTGTTTTTGCGGGGGTTGAGCTTTGCTCTTTCGGCCCGCCTCTCAACTGTCAATCAACTGTTTACTAACTACCTTTTTTTTCCACACCACACACACACACACCCCAGGAAGCAGCCCGTGACAGCTGACTAACTCCCATGTACCTATTTACTGCTAGGTAACAGGGGCACTTAGGATGAAAGAAACTTTGCCCATTTGTTTCTGCCTCGTGCGGGAATCGAACCCGCGCCACAGAATTACCAGTCCTGCGCGCTATCCACCAGGCTACGAGGCCCCGTAGTGTGTGTGTGTGTGTGTGTGTGTGTGTGTGTGTGTGTGTGTGTGTGTGTGTGTGTGTGTGTGTTATGTGAAAATCACGAAAATTAACACGTGATGAAAAAATGTGACAGTGTCAGACCACGAAGGAAGAATTGAAACTGGAATTTCCTTAAGTACTTTCATATTTAATGATACATCTTCAGAAGGGGTAAAGATGCATTATTTTTCTGAAGATGTATTATTAAATACGAAAATACTACGAAATCTGTACATCTTTCTTTAACCTTGGCGGCTTTAGCTACATTTATTAAACAATTTATGAGCTTGGAAACATGGCAGTTCACGGTTATTGTAGTAATACACTACCCTGGACCCAGTGTAATCACCCCTATTTGCGTAAATGGGGATTTTGGTACCCATTATAATGCTTCAAATCTTTACTCGTTACGTACCTTAAATTCCCAGTTTTAAATTATTATTTTTAATCCTATTATACTCAATGAAAGTCGTCACTTGAAGAAATATTTATAAATGCATTTCAAAAATTTTTGAAGGAAAGAAACTTTTCAACGCCAAAGGACTGAATAAGTGGATTTTTCGCTAATGGGGTAGGAAGGGACGAGGTGATTTGAATAGTCTTTTAGTCACTCAACCCGAGGTGGTAGGAGTGACACTGACAGCGGTGATGGCAGTGTCAGGTAGTGACAGTGAAAAACGAAGTGGGAGTCTCCAGAGGTAGTGATTGCCCAAAGGGAGGGACAGTGCCCAAAGGTAGGGACAGTGCCCAAAGGTAGAAACAGTGCCCAAAGGTAGAGAAAGTGCCCAAATGGTAGGAACGGTACCAGAGGTGATGCGACTGACAGAAATGGTAACAGTGCCAGAGTTACTAACAACCAGAAGTACTGACAGTGCCAGAAGTACTGACAGTGCCAGAAGTACTGCCAGTGCCAGAAGTACTGCCAGTGCCAGAAATACTGACAGTGCCAGAAGTACTGCCAGTGTCAGAAGTACTGCCAGTGCCAGAAGTACTGACAGTGATACAGGTAGCATACCCAACCTCTGAACACACCAGTAAACAACCCAACTATCAATTGTAACAAAAAATAATTTCCAAACTAATGAAACTTAAATATTTGATTGTCAGTTTTCCTCTAAAAAACTGGTCATTGAACAACCCTCTGTTACTCCTTGGGATTGGAAGCTGTCTAATATGGCAACTTACATGCAGCTCTGTAATTAAGTAATTCTAAAGCATCTGACTAATTGGAACACACAAGGCACTTAGAAATATATGAAACACATCATTGTATCTGTCTGGTAATTGATGGTGGTAACACTCTCTCTCTCTCTCTCTCTCTCTCTCTCTCTCTCTCTCTCTCTCTCTCTCTCTCTCTCTCTCTCTCTCTCTCTCTCTCTCTCTCAGACCCCTCATCTTGGGTCTTGACGTAAGAAATGGTGAAGGTTTTCACCAAGGGTAAAAATTACTCAAAATTCCGGAGTATAGTGTGCAACCTGGTGATTAGGTAAATAGGGGTTGCATTAACCTGGTGATTAGGTAAATAGGGGGTTACACTAGGTAAATTGAGTGTTGCACTCACCTGGTAACATTCCTAGTGCCCTTATCCTTGGCCATGGAGACGACGATGATGCTGTTGCCTGACACCCCCAGCAGGAAGGTGAGGGCGTGGGTCACCACGATGGGCAGGAAGCTAGGGTTAGCCTTGTGAGGCTTCCTCATCTCCAGAGGGTCCTCCAGATGGATGCAGTTATCCCAGAAGTAGGTGTCGTTCTCGTGTAGGTCCGTGCAGCTGACTCCTACTGTCATCTCTCCTACTCCTAAACTAGCACCTCCTCCTTCTGTTGCAACTCCTCCTGTTGCAAGTCTGTGTCCCGTTAAGGAGGTGGGATACAACGCCTCTAATGACGGATTCGTCGGAAATCCAGAGAAATTGAAGTGGGCAACAAGGGAATCCACGGGATCGAAGGAGGTGTTGTTGGAGTTATAAGGGACGTTCATATTGCCTTATTGAGTTGTTGTTTGCATGTAAGTCCTCCCGTTGTCTTCAAGTCCAATCTCGCAGTAGCACTGGCAAGACTTTTGACCCAGAGTTATATGTCTTTCTTCTTCACACTGACGCAAGACAAATTTCTAATTTGCTTTCTAATTTAAATTTGATCAATTTTAAGTCTTACATTTTCTTTATTGGTGCATTCACGACACATCGGTAAGGTGTTCCTTTTTTTATTGATTTTTTGCTAGCTGAGTTTTCTTACTCACGTGAGTGGGAGATGTTTGGTTGACTCATCGCGGGCTAAGAGGCTGTAATAACTCACTCACTCATTCACTCACTGTGCTTCTTATGCACTCTCGTCGGAATGTCTTTCCCTAAATATATGGCAGAAAATGTTAGGGTTTGTCTATTCTTTTGAGATTCAATAACCTTTTTTTTTTTCTTTTTTTTTAAGATATGATGTTGTTGTCTTTTGTGGTTCTTTTGATGACTTAATTATTTGTTTACAGATCTGATTATGATTGGGGTCAGATTATGTAGAAATGAGATTTAAGAACGTTATAATGTTTGGCGTTTTATATATTTTCTTTTTCTCCCTTCCACAGAACACTAATGTTCTAATATTAGTTCTAGTGTTCATAATGTTACAAATACTTCAGATATATTCCTGGTGGCTACAGAAAAACATATGTGTATTGAATGTAAAAACGAAGAGAAATTATCTTCTCAAAACATTACTTCTAACCATTCAACATTGATTATATATGATACTTAACCACTGTTCCCAAAAATCTATAGATGTTATGACTTGAAAGAACACCATAGCCATGGATTATTAGACAAAATATAATACTATCAGAGGCTTACGATATTAAATATATATGTAATTATATTAATATATATGTAATATATTACGATATGTAATTCAGTATAAATGACGAGGAGTCACAATAACGTGGCTGAAGATATGGGGCCAGATTCATTAAAGCACTTACGCAAGCACTTACGAACGTGTACATCTTTCCTCAATCTTTGACGACTTTCGTTACATTTATTAAACAGTTTACAAACATGAAAACTTCCCATTCGACTGTTGTTATTGTTATAAACAGCCTCCTGGTGCTTCGGAGCTCATTAACTGTTTAATAATTGTAAACAAAGCTGCCAAAGATTGAGAAAAGATGTACAGGTTCGTAAGTGTTTGCGTAAGTGCTTTCGTGAATCTAATCCATGATGACCAGACTACACAACAGAAAATGGAGACACGCCACTCTCTTGATAATGGTCCAGGACGGACCGAAACGTCGTCGTTTCTCCATTATCTGACGTGTGGTTTGGTCATCAATATATAAGTCTCCCTTCAATTGGATAACAAGAATACAACAAAATCAGGCCTAGGGGGTGTTATAGGTGACACACCTACGGGGTGTCTATACACCCCGTGATAGACACTGTGGGGTGTATGTATACACCCTGAGGTATACACACTTATCGGTGAATATACACTGCGAGTATACTTTAGTCTTGCACTGGGGTTAGGATTAAATTATACATGTTGGCTGGATAGTTTATATACTCTAAGTGTCTATACACCGAGAAGCTGGGTACACCTCTCAGTATATATACACCTGTATATCGATATACAGGTGTATTCCGGTGGTTCCAAGAGAAGATGGCGTCCCTCATAAACATTCCCATCTCCAGTTCCTGGGCTGTTGACTAAATTTGAGGTCCTGGAGTGCGTCAGCGGTTGGGTAAACACACTTGGCAGTCTTAGAGTGCCACTTACACACGTCACCTCCTCAAACAAGCGTCTGAATCTTGCGCTCTATATTCTCAAGGCACTAGACCAAGTGTCTGAATTCGCAGTTCTCACTGAGGCTCTGGTGTTCTGACATGGAGAACTGTGTCGTTCTTATGTGACGAATACTGCTTGTGAGGGAGCCTTCAGCATCTGCTTATACATCATACAATAGTTTCTGAACTAATGGTTGGTCCTCGGCACAATCATTTAGGCCGACTCGTCCCAGTTGACGCCACTCAGTAGAGCGTATGAACGCTGGCCAATCAGGTACGAGAGCGGTATTCTAAGACGTTATAGGATGCCATTCGTTGGCTAAAACAGATTCCTTGATTTGATCGTAACTCAAGTGGTGCCAGATCTCCATCGAGTGTCATTTTGACTGAACAGAACAATGTAGCATTGCGTATAGGTAATTAAAGTCTTATCTACATTAAATTAAGATATCCTGAGATAAATTCATCCCTGCGTATATTATTTGTGTTCTGAGTGTGTATAACTTTTGAAAATGGCCGAATTGTGTGACATTAGCCTGCGACATCGTGGCACTGTATGAATATATATGAATTGTATTCATTATGAATAAAAAAAATACATTTAATTATTAATTAAAATTAATAATTAAACAAATTTAAAATAATTAAAACACACACACACACACACACACACACACACACACACACACACACACACACACACACACACACACACACACACACACACACACATATGACAGTTTCAAGCGTATATATGATAGAGCCCAACAGGCTCAGGAATGTGTACACCTGTTGATTGACGGTTGAGAGGCGAGACCAAAGAGCCAGAGCTCAACCCCCGCAAGCACAACTAGGTGAGTACAACTAGGTGAGTACACACACACACACACACACACACACACACACACACACACACACACACACACACACACACACACACACACACACGTGCGTAAATCATCTCATATACTTAATCAACAAGATTAAAGCAAAGTAATGTTTCACAAATGAGGGAATTAGCTGGTTTTAATGAAGAGAGATATCCACCTTCATCTTGCCGCCCGCGGAGGCTAAAAGCCCAGATCTGGCGAGTCTGGGGCTCCCCCCCCCCCACCCTACCCTCCTTCCATATCTGCTGGTATTTAGCGACTACCAATTACCTCCAAGCCTTGTACTGATAATTTTTGCGTACCAGACAACTTCATACCATTCAACGCAGTGTTTCATCAGTTTGACACCGTAATACAGTGTTTCACCAACCTGATACTATACAACTCAGTGTTTCGTCAGTTTGACACTATGCAACACTGTATTTCCATCTACTTGACACATGGATTTCACTGGATTTAGGTTTGTTTGTTTGTTTTTTTTTGGGGGGGGGCATTTAGTTGGGTTTATACTAGATTTTGTTGGGTTTTTGGACGTTTATTACTGCTTCACTTAATTAAAGCCCTAATTACGTCCTTTAAAAAAAAGGCAACGTTGGGAAATCTACCCCATCTAGGACCTGATCTACCTAGATTTTGATGAATCAACCGATCTGCCCATCAGCCTGCCCATCAGCCTAGCCCATCAGGACAAAATCGATTCATAGGAAGAGATGTTTTGAAATTCTCTATTTCGCGGCTCGTCTGCAACATGTAATGCAACAGAAGCAACAGGCGATCAAGCCTCCATAGCCTTCTCTTCCATAACTTACGGTACAACAGAAGCAACAGGGGGAGAATCTACTGTTAAGAGTGTGTGGAGTACGTTAAAACAGAAAACGTGCCCTAATCGAAGCCAGAGAGCAACAACGTATTTATTATGCTTGCAATACAGAATCTTAGCGAATCTCCAAACAACAGCTCACTGGATTTGAGGAGTCTCTGATTGCGTTCCCTCGGGAGATTCCCTTCCTGAATGCTAAACGAAGTCTCTTTGGTGCCCATCTTTCGCATTTGGGTTGACATGGAGAGAGAGAGAGAAGAGAGAGAGAGAGAGAGAAGAGAGAAGAGGAGAGAGAGAGAGAGAGAGAGGAGAGAGAGAGAGAGAGAGAGAGCGAGAGAGAGAGAGAGAGAGAGAGAGATAGAGAGAGAGAGAGAGATAGAGAGAGAGAGAGAGAGAGAGAGAGAGAGGAGAGAGAAGAGAGAGAGGAGAGGAGAGAGAGAGAGCGAGAAGAGAGAGAGAGAGAGAGAGAGAGAGAGAGAGAGCGAGAGAGAGAGAGAGAGAGATCCAATATTGTTTGTAATTGCATGCAGAGAATGCATTCTAATTTGTTTTCATAACAGACTATAAAAAACCTTTGAAACATTTTAATACAATATTGAACAAAAAGATATTTTTTGTCAGAACTAAAATCAACGTAGACACACACAAGCAACCTAACTGAAAAGCCCTAAAATATTAATGCATCTCATGTTTGATCTTTTGCAATAATGATTTTTTTGGGGTATATCCCCCATGGTAAAGAAATTGATGGGGTTCAACCTGTGTACCCTCCATGGTGCACAAACTGATGGTGTTCAACCTGTGTACCCTCCATGGTGCACAAACTGATGGTGTTCAACCTGTGTACCCTTCATGGTGCACAAACTGATGGTGTTCAACCTGTGTACCCTTCATGGTACAAAGATTGATATCATACAACCAGTGTGCACGCTAGGATAGAGAGAATAATGATTTGAGCCTTTGTACTCAATAATATACAAAGTTTAGTAAGTGTAAAATTTTTGTACTAAAGTGAAGGGAATATAAAAGTTTTTAGCATATCAATAAAAAGTAGAACACGGAACAATGGATATATATTTTGGATAAACTTAGATTTAAAAAAGACCTGAGTAAATATTTGTTTGAGACAGAACTGTTGATTTATAGAACAAATTACTGGGTAAGCTAATAGATGCTGGAATGTGTCAAGCGTAGTTTAAACAAATACATGAATGGTTTTAAGGGATTCAAATAGATGTTGTCTCGTACAGGTCAATTAGCATTCTGTAATTACCTATATTATAGTGCTCTTAGTACATAGTACATAGTACATACTTCAAGGCTATAAAGGTCCCCACGTGTACTGATTTACTGGGTAAATGGTTTCATAAATTAACAACCTGTATCCAAACCAGTATTTACCCATGACTTTCCTAAATCTAAATTTATCCAATATATATCCTCAGTGTCGTGCTCTATATGGTGTTGATGATGTGTAAAATCTTAATTATGTTCCCTGTGGTATTAGTACATAAGGATCACAATGCTGTGGCATCCACAGACTTATCTTTCTGCAACAACGAATACCTAAGTACCAGTAGGTAATTACACGCAGACAAACAGGCAATATCATCCCTTAACGATGTCACAGCTGTTGCGAAATAGTGAAAAATACTCCATGAGTTGCCTTGCTATGTTTAACAACGAGTTATAATGGCTTTAAACAACGTAGTATTGTCCTGATTAGCTCACCGGGGCGTTGTTA